TCTATATGTGTCTCTATATCAGCTTACATCTACTTTATGTTTAAATGCCATCTTATTGTGTGAATTGTTGTAGAAATTTGTTCAGATATATAGATTATTATACGATCCAAGACGATTTAGTTTGGTTATGCGTGTGCCTTGTTCCGCATTGTTGGTTGAGTTCGTAGTATGTGTATTTTAAAAATAAACTAATATGATTGGTTTGCAACATGGGTTAATTTAGTTGTTTTCGTATAATTTATATTTTATGAAATCAATTTGTTGCTCTTGGCTTTCATTGAGAACATCCTGTCTTAAGTGTTGTATTTATGTTGCCATATTACAAGAGAACAATATTTGTGTAATATGCTATCTTAGACATTAGTTCACTTTTAGAACAATCTCCTTTTGTTACAGAGCTCTTTGTCGATTGTATCTTGTTTTACTTGCGGTTGCTATTTACTATTTTACTTCTGAATCAAGAAGTTGAAGTATAAGTGCTTATATCTAATGACTAGTCATATTCCCATCCCAAATTTAGCCGAGAAAGTATATCATAAATGAGGACTTCCTATTAGATTCTTGTGTATTTAATTAATAAAGATATACGCTAAAATATACGTGTCTCCGTTTTTCTTTTAACCTCGTACAAGTTCGAGGACTGATTTATGTCTCTGCCTTGATTTGTTTCTCTCTTACAGGAGGAGGCATCAGCTATCCAGTCTGCTAGTAAGCAGTGGTACAAGACAATGATCTCAGACAGTGACTACACAGAGTTCGACAACTTCACAAAGTGGCTCGGTGTTTCTGAGTAACTCAAATCTCTCTATTTCTTATGGCTGTTAGATTTTATATTCTTAATTGGTTTTGTTTACTGTTTTTGGCTTTTATCTTCCAAGACTTTTATGGTATCAGACGGTTTGGGAACGACTTTAATAACTCTAGTAGCTCAACTTTACTTTCTCCTTCCCATATTTTATTTCTGCTGAGTTTGAGAATTTTTGATTTAGACAGTATGTTATGGATTTGCAGGTTTATTACCTTTTTATTTCTGTGTGAATCTTTTCCGTGTGGCATCTCAAATGCTGTTGTTTCTTCTTTCTCGACGTTTGTTTTCAGAATTTTTAAACGTGTTCGAAGTTCATATTGAATTAGTAGTTATAACTACTGATTGGCCATTAGTTCTTTCTTAAGTAATGTTATTGTTTCTGATAGTTTGTGCATGTTCAAGAAAATTAAGGTTCATAAAGTGTGAGTAGGGTTATTACTATGCTACACCCACTGCTGTGATTTTTTTACGGTTTGATCTACACATACTAATGTGGGTGTGTGTGTTTGTGTGTATATGAACGGACCGTGTTTGAAGTGTGTAATTTTAATTAGAAAAGATGGGCCTTTGATCCAATTATTAGCCCATATGCCAAATGTACCCAAGCCTAGATGCCCCTTTAGAAAAATTAAGAGTAATTACTAGGTGTCTGTTAATCAAGATTAGTGTACATTAGATTAAATCCTCCCAACCCTAAATGAAATTATCTCATGTCTATGACGAAGAAGTTCCTAATGTACAAAATTGAACAACCCTGCAAACCCTTATTCCTGTCATTATCATTTTATTACAACCTTTTATTATGTCAAAATTTTCTTTTCTGGTTTATTTTAGAGGGTTTCATAGTTTGTCAGGTGTATATATAATACTTCACATTATTATACAAAGGACTATTTGTTTGTAGAGTAAACATGGTAAATACAGTAAACAACTGTTCATTCTTTAATATATACCTACACAATTTTCAAGTAAAAAAAAAAAATACAAGAAGGAATCCCTTCGGTATTGCTTTTGTTTTGAGGTAGGTGAAAGCAGTCATTGTTCATTTCAGGTGATTAAATACTAAAGTAAAGAGGTTCATCGTTGGACAATGTAATTCTGGCATGTTTAATTAACAGTTGTAGGGCAATATTAAAAAAAAAAAAAGAATACAATCAAACCTCAAAAATTAATATAGTCGGGATCAATCTAATTCTATTATCGGAAAAATGTATTTTTTAAACGGAATTATTAATTTATTGAGCTTCTACTTTATTTTGTTAGGAATATGATTGAACCAGCAGTCCAGCAAATATTGTAGGTGTAAGACAATTTTATATTTATAATTACTGTAGCTTAATAATACTACGAAAAGTATGATTGGAGTTCACTGTTAGATTGCATTAGCTATAAATTCTCTTAATTATGTATTTTGTTCATAAAAAAAACACAGCCCGGGTTGGGATTTTGCTGCCGACTAAAGTGAGAATAACAAAAGTTTGTTAATTTGTTTTTTCACGTTATGCCATGTGATTATTAAAAACAGTAAAAAATTACTCATGTAAAACATTTATTCCACTGTCGTCACGTGATTGACCACCCCCCTACCTGGGCCCACCTCGGTCAAGCATACAAAAACACTCAACCAACTATAGTTATATTCCTTTTGATATCGTAAATAAATATAATAATCTAAAGAAATTAATTAAAAAAAAGAAAAAGAAATTCTTATGTATATTACAAATAATTTTTTATTTCTTTATTTTAGCAAGTGTATGAGAGGGAAACAAAAGATGTCTAAATTACTCGAGGATTTGACTAATATTCGCCCAATTTGATTAGTTTAATAATAATAATAATAATATCACATTTGGTTATAATCTTAATCTTATTAATTCAAATAAATTCTATAATTAAACATGATATTGTTAAAAACTCAATTCATTTGCACGTAACCTTTTTACTGTTTTGCTCTTTTTCTTTGTCGGCTTTCATCGGCCCCCGACCCCTCCCGCAAAAAAATGATTATTAGTTATGGGTCCATTACCTTAACCTTCCCTCACGCGGTGTAACCACCTCCTAAAGTCCTTGTTCTATCACGCGCCACCTCATAAAAAAGACACTAAGGCGGTGGTTGCAAAATGTATTTTAAAACAAATTACTGGTTTTTTTTATTTTCCCATTTAGTCTTTGTATTGTGTGTTTGCAATTGCAACGCTTGCATATTGGCTCAAGGGATGAAAAGGACATGTGGTGGAATTTCGTCCTGGCATTAGCAATTTTGCTCTAGTTACAGAACCTGGTATTTGTAAAGCTAGGGCAAAAGTGTCAACTCATAGGCTTGCCAAACTTCTATGTAGCAACCCGTGCCTCTCACGCGCCACCGCGTTTGCACTAAACAGAATACCGTCTCTCTCACCCACATATTCCCTTATAATATCTCTTTCTCTCTCACACACAAAAGCGCACTCGCCTCTGTTGTATTTCCTCCGGTACCACGCACTACAGTGCACACGCAAAAAACGGTTTATTTAAGAAAATCTTTTTTTTTTGCTTTTTTTCTTTCTCTCACTTAGAACACTCCTCTTTCGATTTTCTCTCTCTAAACTGCAATTTAAATAGCCGGCTTTCATTCATTCATATCTCTCCACCTTTTGCCTCTTCTCAACTTCTAGAGAGAGAGAGAGAGAGAGAGAGAGAGAGAACAGTATCAAATTCTAATCAGTTACCCCTTTCATCATATACAAACATCTATAGATACAGTGTTTTGCTCAATTATTTCCGTATTTCAACAAAATAAACTAGAACTAAAATATTCCTTACTTCTTCACCATTCTTCCGCACTCGTTTTCCAGCTTGCGCATGCATTTTCGCAGTCTGTGTATGCATATATTATATATATAGGTGCGTATTGTAGAAATTTTGGTGGATTGTAATTTAGTGATGTTGAACCTCAATTTGACTATTGATCATTCGGCACCGACCGTCGATCGAGTTGAAACGGCGTCGGAGAAGCATCTTATAATATCGGGAGATCAAATGGAATATTCCGGCAGCTCTAATTCCTCCATCGTTAATTTGGAAACATCGAGCACCGCCGGCGATGATAACTCTTGCTCGAATCATTTCGTCGGTTTCGATATATGGAAGAGCAACGGTGAATACGAGGAGAGTGAGAAATCGAGCTGCGGTTACGTGATGAAGGATTTTTTTCCGGCAAGTGGCGAAGCTCGACCGGGCCAGTGGCTGGATCTCCCGGAGAATCGCCAGGTGTTAGCGGAGCAGAGGATTATTGCTCAGCCGCAGAAGATGCAGCAGGTGAAGAAGAGTCGGAGGGGACCGAGGTCTCGCAGCTCTCAGTATCGTGGCGTCACATTCTATCGCCGCACCGGACGTTGGGAATCTCACATTTGGTAAGTTAATACTTCATTGATTTTTCATATTAATTTTAATATTTCAATTACATCTTCTGCTATTGACTTCAAAATCAAAACTATATATAAAAAAAAAAGGTAATTAGTCAATAACACTTGTGCGATTAAGGACAGAGGTTTTACATTAGTATAATCAACCTTTTGTATTTAAATTTTGATGGATCTGAATTTATAGCTGCTGAAATGGGGATTGAATGTTATACAATTTTTGCAAATGAGAAGGTGTATCTATTATTGATTGATCGATTTACGCAAATTGCTTTGCGATGATTGTCTGCAAAGA